TCACTGCGCGTGCGAGCCTTGGGTGCGTTCTGCAATCTGCCGTCACCTCCTTCAATGCTGGTGGCTGAGGCTCCCTGCCAACTGACCAGCTTCCACCACAGGGGTCGGGACTCAACATAGGGCTGTTCATCGGGCCCCCACGTCCCCGGTTTGCAGATGAGTAGGCTGAGGCCCAGAGGAGGGCAGCCTCACTGCAAGCGCTCAGCGCATCCAGCCAAGACCTGGGTTTCTTCCCACATAGCCCTGAGCTTTCTCCCAGGTCCCACAGCCATTGTGGGACGCACGAGCGGGTGGTCCTCACGCCCATAAGGGGGGCTCCAGGGTGTCCTCACGGTCTGAGTGCGGTCAGAGCTGGGCCCCAGGCATTCTCTGCGGAAGGCATGGCTATCCAGAGAAGTGCCTCGAGGAAGTGAGGGCACCTGTCTGGGCATGGGAAGCTGGGAGAACTTGTCCACCATGGGGAGTCCCACATTTGCAGAATGGGACTTGAACCTGTGTCCCCAGTTGGCCCCTCTGTTCGTCTGGGTGGACTAGAGAAACAAAGTCATGGATACTCGTGTGCATAAGAAAGAGCAATTGTATATTGAGAAAGCATCCCATCCCAGTCCAGATCAAGTCCGTAAGTCTGACATTAGCCCATCTGTCTGATACCAGTCTATAAAGTCCTCTTCAGACTCACAAAACACATGCAATGATGCTGAATGCAGGAAGATCACAGGCCAGTGGGTGCAAAGTCTTGTGGATCCAGTGGCAGTGGAAGCATCTCAGTGCTGGCAGGGGTCTCCATGTGCCTCATCCAGTTCCCAGGGCACAGGGTCTATCAGCGTAGTGCCATGTGTCTTGTCAGTGAAGCATCTCTAAGGGAGTCAGTGTTGTCAGTAGAGTGTGTCTAAGGGAGTGAGCCAGGAGAGACAGTGTTTCCCTGCCTCCAAGGAGGAAAAAAAGAGGAGTTCCCAGAATTCTCAGGAGAAGGCCATGCCCACACAGAGGCCTCACTGGCTGTGGCCCGATTGACAGACTAGACTCCACCCCTTCACTCTCAACCCTCAGCTTGACACCAGATTATGTAACTACCGTACTACCCGAGTTCCTTACTCCACAGATCACGCTCACGATGCCATCACCACCCTAGGCTAGGGTAGAACTGCCCCGGTGGGTCCCCAAGGCTGCAAATCTTGTCTTTCTCCCGGGGGAGCAGCTGGTGAGTTTGAAG